TTTAAAATAGGTACTCGTGGCTTGACTCTTGAATCATTTTGCTCACAATCGTCTAAGCAGCGCTGGTGTTAGTGCGTCCGGTACGTGTCCTGATTTCCAGACCACGGTTTCCTTCTTGCACAGAAGATATGATTGCTACTCAATATATTATTGACTTTTTTCTTATAAGTGCTTAAGAGTAATTTTGTGTGACTGCAAACCACGACGGTATGATCATTTTTGTGATTTGAAGATCGACAAGTTTTCGAAAGCATAATGTCTAAAAATTCTCGACGAAATTCAAAGCCGTGAAAGGAATTTTATGATCGTTTCTCCAAAATGTCATTATCAGTGCAGTGAGTTAATCGCAATTAATAAGTTTGATGTTTTGTTTGACTTACCATGCCATTTGGGTGTTTGATATGAGCTGTGCAACGTTTTGCGCAACCAATAACAAGTTTGGCATACTTAACGTCTGGGTCATGTTACTGCCTTGCTAAATGTTTACTTATAGTTCTTTGATTTTGCCTTGTTTACTACGCACCTTGCAACTCATATATATGGTCGGTCACGTTGCCTGGCTAGTGGCTATTCCTTGGTAAGAATAACAGCTCCTTATATGCACGTTTTCTAATTTTGAGCGTCACCACTTATCGAATATGCTAAAGTTTCATTTAATGATGCGTAAATTATATTGAATTGCAGCACTGATATTATCAGCATATTGATCAAAATTGTTCTCTGATTTTCGCTTACGATGAACTGTTAACGAAATCGAGCGCCCGGTTGTCAGTATTGTTGAAAGATGAACTAGTTGAAACGAGTTGTATATCGGGTACTTTAGCTATGCTAAAATAATTATGAAGAGATTTTCTTAATATTACGTGTCTATCGAGGCGTTACTTTGACAAGAGTCCTTGCACTGTAAGTGTGAATGCATGAGATATGCCATGCAGTTGCCTTGAGCCAAATTTATTAAAGAGATACGCTTCCTTATCTAGCGCGTGATGAACAGCTCAATGCTATTCTCTGGTGGTCCTATTATGAAAAGTTACTTTTCAGGTATTAATGGATTGAAACTTGCTACGAAAAGAGGAACGTAATATCTTTATTGCTAAATTTTTATATTACCATTCACCTTCACAGATGATTTTTGCATCTAAAACAAATGGTTTCCTGTCATTTGTCTTAAACCTGTCATAATTCGATAAACTTGAATGTTTATTAGGTATACGTTAGTACAGTTTTTATCATTCGCCAGATATCCTTGAAATTTGCTTATCAAAATATAAGGACGCCTGTGAATGGTGTCAGATCAGCGACAGAATTAATGCACTTCAGAAGAATGCTGGCATCAAAAATGTACAAAATTAAGTTAATTAACGAAGGTTATTCAGCTTTGACATCTCTTGGACCCAAGTGATGTTTTGTGCTGCGTAGCAAAACAACGATGATAAAGATTATAGGAACTTTCCATCCCATGAGATATCTTGTTATGTTGCTTCATTCTAAAAAATTTACGACTATTGTGGTAGATTTGTGGTCGTGGTGAAATAGTATTAAGTGGCATCGGTAACCAAGGCGTGCTAAGCAGTTTCACTTGCTTTCATTTGCAACTATATGACAGCTGATTTAAGTAAGAGATAGAGAACCGAAGTGGTTTTTTTTTTTGTATTGTATTGGTGTTTCAGGAGATCCTAATATGGCTGAAACAAACGCTCCCCTGTGAGGGAGTTAACAGGTGCGTGGCTGGATCTTCGAGGTTCGGGGAGCCCCCGCTTGTATTTCTCTCTCGCTCTCTGACTGGGCGTAGATCAGCTCTCCATTGCACTTCCTACGAGCGCGCTGTATTCAGCCTTCGGAGCTTCAGAGCCATGTCCAATTATTGTGATAGTTCAGCACGTAAAATTATTGTTTTAATGGATTAAAAGTTTGTGGCTAAATTTTCCTACTGCTTGACTTAATTGCTACCGCAAAATGACAGTCCAGGCGCCTAACCTCACAATTCACTGAGAGGTAAATTGGCAGAAATTTATAATCGTGCACTGATCTTATGTCAGATTTTGCACCTTTTTTTAAATGATGGCCTCAGTGTCGTACACTCATTGGTTGCAATAATCACGTCCACAGAACGCGGAAAGTTTCTTCAATGTGATCGAGTAAAATCTTAACTCGCAGGATTTAGAAATCGAAGGCTTCTCTTGATCGTGTGGCGACTCCTCTAATTTAACTTTATTTTTGTCGATTTTTCCTTAGTTCCCCATTGAGACTTTTGGTTGTCAGAGTTGTCAATTTATTTTTTTTAATTGTATCTGATATGGTGTCCTTTTTATGTGCTTATATGAAGGTTTGAACACTTTTCGTTTCTTACGCTTAAAAGACTTCAGCGTGGAAGCATATATCTAAATCAATTCGAACAATGCCATAATTCAAACCTTGTGTTTGAATTGTGACCTTGTGAGTTGTGTGACCTTGATGATTTAATTTGAAAAAAATTTGGTTTAAAGAGCCGTGCTTTTTATGCCTCAGATCGTCATTCAAGAAATATCCAAGAAAATCAATCGATGACATATAGTTATCATTATGCGACGAGTAACCATCGTCGTCACTTTCACGTCGTTGAGCTCCGGCGCTCTGCCTATTTAAGACGCCGCTCACATGACCGCTCATCAGTTGAGCGCGCGCTCTCGTCCTGTTCATGTACCTGTGCCACGAGCTGATGTGCCGTGCTTTGTTACTGTCCAATTACGACCTGAACATTACCGTTCTCCTGAGTTGTTATAAATTATTTAGAAAAAAGCTTCATCATGGTTGCCGAAGAAGGTAAATTTTCTACCTAAAATATCTATTTTAGTTGTTGAATCAAAATTGAATTTATTTTTATATTGAGTAAATTGGAATTTTTCTTGAATCTAGAATCGCTTGCACTGAAGAATGGGCGGCATTTTAAGAAATTTAACACAAATCATTCAAGGGCATGGTGACAAATATACCATTGCAATTTTTGTTGGTTTTCATATGCACATATTCGGAATGCCTTATCTACGGTTAATTAAATCACGTAATGCAATTTAATTCAACTGCCTCGTACTAGCTCATTTGATTGCGTCATGCGCTCGGAGTGAGCTATACAACTAAAGCCTGCCTGTAACATTTTAATGTTGGTACTTAATTTTCTGTTGCAGCGCCAGCAAGTATTGTTCGGTAGGAGCTGAGCGCCGCTGTGTATGTCTTACGAATTGCACTGCTCTTTGCAGTCGCTCAGTTCTACGTTAGACACTTATAGACATACCTTCTTTGGGCTCAATATTTTGCTACAATTTTACCTTGTATATGGAAAAAACTTCCATCAGGTATCTTTACAGATATTTTATCCTTCATCTAACGTTCTATGCAGTATTGATAATTTACTCGCTATTAAAGTGAATGGAAAAGATTTATCTGGTAGTTTTATCAGCACAAATGTTACCATTACTAAAGATCGAACTAGAAATGGCGTGTTCTCCTATATAATATGGCTTTAGATAGCATACTACCGTGTGTTCAGCCGTATAGTTGGAAAATTCCTGTAGAATATCAATCAATCTTTTGAGTCTCAACCATTGACCACAGCTCTATAAACATAAATAATTTGAATCGCATTTTTAGTGCAATTTTTTTCCTTTTTCCTGAAGCTTCCACAGTTTTTATAACTACCGTCGCAGCGATTCTGTTAATGATCTTTTTAAGAGAATGCTCATATTGTACCGATTTATCGAATTAAATATTGCTCTCCTGTCTCCTATCATTCCTAAAGTTTCACCATGGGGGGTTTCATCATCGTGTACCTGGCTTCTCCTTCTTGGCGGAGGCTAGGTTAGGTTGTTGTAAGGACAAAGGAGGGAGTATGTTTCACTACAGGGGTGTGGAGGGCAGCGAAGAACACGTAGGGGGGCAGGGGTGTTGATTGCGTGCAGGTAGGCGAGATCTTATGGCGGGCGGTAGTTCCCCGAGCGCTGCGTGTACGACCCTCAACCAGCGGCAGCTCGTACAGTGTCTCCTTGTTGCCGCCAGGGATTTGCATGTGGTCGTTTTTTGTTCCAGTGCCTTGACAGATGTGTTGTAACTGTTCTCTTGCATTCTCGGATTGATTTGGTCTTGATCAGTTATTTATGATGTTGTGAATTCGCTAATGAGTATAAGTAGTGGAGTTTCGGCCTTGACTCAGTCGGACATGAAATTCTATCGCGAAGTTAGTTTCATATATTTTACTGGAAAATTGTTTTGAGAAGTTGAAAATTGTTTGAGTTTCTTTGTATTTAAGTACATTAAACTATTTATGAAATGATTAGGTAAATCGTTATGTACCTGCCATGGCAATTAAATCATTTTAATTGAAACAAGGTTATTCCGTTCAGTGCGAATAGACAGAGTGATTATTTTAAGAGTAGCGAGCTTCGCGTTCAGCTAATGCTGCTCTCGAACTGCTCGTCAATGAACGCACTCGCCAGCGTCTTTTTGCTCTAAACTTTTTTTGTGCGCGGCGCGTCCATTGTTCCGGCGCGCGGGGACTCCCCCGCGCCTGACTTTCTCCGCGCGCCTTCGCCTTCTGCGCACTCGCCTGCATGAGCGGCGCGCGCATGCAAATGTTGCAAATAATCGCAAACTTTTGAGTAATTAATAGTAAATTAGTTACCTCATTGACATAAATGGTTTGAGTGCACATAAAAAGAACACAAACTGGGAATAATGATGATTTTTATTATCATTAGTGCAGCGTGTTATTAGTTGTATTGAAGACTCCTATTATTAATGACCAGCAATATGAATTAATTTCTCTCTGTAATCACAAATTGTGATTGATGCGAATAGTTTTGATTAGTGTCATGCCAGTGCTTCAACGCCTAACCGCTTTGACTGTTCAAGTCAGCGACTCGGTATCACGTAGGTACCTACTGTACTCTAGACTGATAATGATAGATGTCACACGCGCGATTATTGTGGACTGTCAGTTTATATCAGAGTGTCGCAGTGAAAGGTCGCGAGGCTGTTGTGCAAATTTACTGAATTGCGTCTGTTTACAAGTGGCGTTGTAGTTCAGTTGGTGTTATGTTGTGAAATTTTGTTATACCGCATTTGTGCGTAGTTGTACCTTTCACGAGTTTGCAAGAGCTAATCATAACCGTGCGGTATTTCACATATTTTTTCCGAGGTTTTTACAAATATTTTTTTCTCAAGATCCATCCTCGGCACGTCAAGATGTTTTCCTACGATATGATTGCTTACATTTATCCTCGTGCCTTTGCAGCCTCAAGAGGCTTTAAGCTCACTCATCACGGGTGGACCTCGTCCTTGTCGTCGACATCGTCACAAGCTTCTACTCGTACTCCTCGATCACTTCTCCGCCGTCATGAAGTCCACTCGCCGCAGTACGCTCATGGATCACGGCTGAGTTCTGTTCATTGTCAATCCTCTGATCCTGCTGACGAACCAGACGAGTCCCAGGGCCTCTGGTCTTCAGTGGAAGACTTGGCCGGCCTCTCCCACGAGGACGCGCCCAACTCCCACACATTCAGGAGATCCTACAGACCATCTTCGTCCTCTCGCCTCAAAGCTCACGCTGTTCCCAACCACTCCTCGGCTAATATTACCAACTCCAGAGCCCGCCGTAGTACCAGGAACTCCAGTCGCAGAAATCGCAGCAAGAACTCGAATGCTTTGCATATGAAAGCCGTCGATCAGTTCATCGCAGAAGCTCAAGCCCGCGACATAAATTCTGAGGATCTCGTAAGCTGTGCTACCGCCCTCATCAACGAGAGGCTCCAGGCAATTAAGAACGAAGAACTTGTACTCGACTGGAGCAGCCCTGCTGATTTCGCTGACGAGTCGGTCCCTAAGGTGAGCTGATCAAATATAGCTTAATAGGGCTGAGATTATTTTTTATACGATTGAATGGAATTAAGAGGAATAAAACCGTCAATACTCACTCGCGTGAAAGTACTAGATGGAATCTGTGATGTGAGAGCCAGAAACCAATATTTTTAAATCACTTTGTATTGGTAAGATAGAATTCATTTCAATTTTTTATACCTACAAATAAAATATTTTGCAGATTCTCGCCTGTGAAGAGTCGCTCCCTGCTGAGCCAATCCGTGCGTCGTTGCCATCTGACGTTCAGTCTCGCAACTGCACCAACGCTCGTGGCATCCCAGCGGCAGCGTTCCCCCCCTCCCTCATAAAGTGGCCTGGACTCAACAGCAACAAACAAAAGCGCCTAGTCGAGATAAAGAAGCAGGTCAGTATGAATGAATCATTGTTAAATAAGTTTATTTACAAAACATAGATTGCAAATGCAAAGCAGTTACAGCCCGACATCGGCACTTTTTTCTTGTTAAATAGCTCCTAGTGTCTCAAGCAGCCCATTCGAGGGCAATATTGTCTACAATTCCTCCTATTGATAGGAATCATGTTCAAAATGTGAAATTTGTACTACCACTCTACTAAAATGGTTCTTACTTGCAGGTGAAATTCCTAAGCAATATCATCAAAATGACCATCGAAGGCTCACAAGAGCTACAGCAGTCCGGGGGCCTCGGGGGTGCCATACCGGCGCCCTTCTCACCTTTCGTGGACGTGTCGTGCATCCCGTCGTCCGCCCTCACGCACGCGTCCGCTGATGCTGCATACCTGCCGTCCATTGAGGAGCTCAATGAACTCCTCTTGAGCGGCAAAGAAAAAGAGGTTAGTCGAAGTGACGTCGTTTAGGGTATGATTTTGTCTTTGTTTTAGCGCTCTGTAACAAATATACGTTCTCAGACAGCATTGTGAGACAAATTGAAACTAGGAAAATTATAGCTTGGTTCCAATATCCTGTACAGCAGGTTAATAAAATATTGCATAATATATAATAGGTATAGGTCGTATGGACGCTGTACCGTACCTATATGATCTGCACATGATAACGAGCTTGTTGAATAACAACATTATCACTCAAAAATTAGAACTTATTTTAGCCTGTGATTGCTGCACAGGGTTCCGGTATAAATGTTGTGTAAAATATCTTGTAATGCAAAATGTCAGTGTCAAGTAATTTAAATAGTGTAATATAATCTGTTGATCATGAAAATATGCCGCTTTACCATCACGTATTGTTATCCGAACAGGCGAAGTCTTTGATGCGCGGCGCTGGTGGCTCAGTGACGTGCCCAGCTCGGCCCGCCCTCTGGAAGGAGCTCTGCAAGCGACAAACTTCCGAGCAGTTCTCCGACTCGTTCTATTACGACACTCTCTTGCAAATTTACGGTACCAAAGGTGAACACTTGTGTACCTTGTCCTACTTTGGTTTAACTCTTCGTTATTTTCGGGTCTTCTACTCTTCAATGCATGTGATTCTTCCTGACTTCTCATCCCTTTTTATGCCAATTCTTACTTTCTGGGAGTTTTTTTCCCCTAGTAGCGACCTCACTGACGATGCTCGACATATGTAGCATATTTTTTGGCATTTTAATGAAATTTTCATTTTTATAAGCCTCATTTTTTAACTTGTGTTGATATTCCCAAGCTTTCACATCTAGAAATTCGCGGTTGAAGACAATTCTTTCTTATAGTTGACCCTTGAATTGATTTTGCTAACACTTGCATTTTTAGCGCAATATATAATTTCCATTATCTTTGTCTGATATTTCAAATGGTTGTTTCATGACTTGCATTATACAATTTCTGCAATAAATGTTTCAGAACTAAACGAGTGCCAAGTGGTGCTGCCCATGTTCGTGGACCAGAAGCATCTTGGCAGGGCCCTCAATAGCGATGGTGTAGCGGCGTGCGCTCGCGTCATCTCTGTTCTTGCTTATTATTATCCTCCCATCACCCACGCTCCTCTGCTGTACCCTCTCACCGCTACCCTCCTCCTCTACATGAAAGGTGTGTGCCATGTAGAGTTACCTGCCTTAAATGTGAATTGGTGAATTTTCTCGGTTATTAACTGTATCACTCAGATTTGAGTGTATGAACCTTCACGATACCGAAAATGAAGCAAGTTTTCAAATATTTTTGGCGTTTCTGAGGCTACGGTAGACAATTTCGATAAGTTTTTGCGTCATTTTTCTCAACAGAATCAGACGTGTACAACAGCCTGTCAGCGTTGGTGTGCAGTGCTAAAGTAACCTTCGCTACCCAAACAAAAATCGCCCATGAAGTTGGCTGGAGGACCACCCTCGTGTTGGCCCGCAAACATGTCGTGAGTTTCATTACCTCACTTCTTGTGTGGTGGCCATGTATTGTAAACAATAGATTTGCTTCCTTTCAAATCAATTGTCAATATTTTAAACTGACTCATGATTAGATTGTCCTTTAATATCTCTATTGTTTAGCTGATTATTAGTTTTTCTCTCCAGCAATTTATTCGCAAAGATCTGTGCAACTACACTCGAATATTCATGGCATTTGATATTAACAATAACCTGACATTTCGGTACAGATTTCGTGGCTAAACTAACTGTTCTATCTTCAGGGCGCCGCATTCTCAACCTTGGAGAAATTCGGCATTGACTCCAAACAAGTGGAAGTCGCTTTCCAGAACTGGCTTTGGTGGATCTTTGAAGGCCTTCCACTGCCACACTTGGTGAGCTTCTTATGGTCACTTCCTAAGATATTAGTTTGTTGCTTTACACAATACCTTCTATTCTATGATTATGATGAATGGGCGCTTTTTTGAGGGAATCGTTGTAGTATGTCAGTTTCTTACCTGATCAGAATTTAAACTGCTTGGATTCATCATCCACAAATAATTAATCCCCTTCCAAGTTAGACTTTTTCATTAAAGATTCTTGCAAATTTCTTGTCATCAAATGAAATCTTTCCCCTTCTCTTTATCGTATAAACTTTTAATTTTAACACAATCACCATACTAGTTGCCTTTACTGGCGCAATCATTTAATCTGTTTTAGTGTTGAGATAATTGAGATATTCTAAACATAAAAATATATTTTGAAACATTGTAATGAGAAATTAATTCGTAACAGATACGTGTTGTTGATTGCTTTCTGCTGGAGGGGTGGAAGGTGCTAATGAGAGTCGCCCTCGCCATCTTCCACATGTTCATGCGTCAGGTGACGCGTGATCCTTCCACTGCTGCCGCCCTCTCCACCAGGGGCTTCAACGAGGCCCTGCTACGATACTGCCACGCCATTACAGTCAGTATTAACTCGGGCAGATTAGTCCCTGTAGGAGTTATTCTCTTTAAATTCGCTATTTTCTTATCTGCGTAGTGATTCCATAAAATCTATCGAGTTGTATGCTTCTGATGACGTCTAAGGTGCTTGCTTACTTGTTGTTCGCAGAGGATTTGAAGAAAGTTGGGAAATCAAATTTTCGATTCAGAGTGACCTGACATACGCGTATTCAATTTTTACTTTTTTTTGTTTGTAGTTTTTAATTACTGTGCGATCTATTACACAATTGTTTGATTGAATCGTCCGTAATGCTGTTTTCCAGTTTAATTAAGAGACGGAAGTAGGCTTTTCTGTGCTCTTTAATTTTCATCATTGATTTTTAAATTATTGTGTATAATCACCTACATTTTCATGAGAATCCTGTTTTTATTCCTAACATGATTGTAGACCAAGGAATTTTTCTGAAGAAACTCGGTAAATTCAATACCAGAAATCCTCATACATGAATTTCCACACGCAGGCATCACCAGCTAAACTTTTGAAGACTGCGTTCGGCATTCGCGCTCTGAGCAAAGCAGAGATTCAGAAAGTGATGTTAAAGACAGAACACAGCCTCAAGCGCCACGGCACGGTCTCAGAGACTGCTGAGGGCGCGACCAGCACCCACGAGAACATGACTGGCATGAACAGAGCCGTGTCTCTGGAGGGGCTCCCAAATGCCTCCTCGCAGGCTGATGTTCAGATGGTCTCCCGCACGCTTAACCTCAAGGAGGTGAGGAACTGAGCAAGATTCTTTGTACTCGAGGAGCCTGCGGGTTACCTCTCTCGGTCATAAAAATACGGGGTCTTGTTTAACGGTCAAACCGGATTCTTAAATACCTTACTATGTTATTACTTCATTAATTATTAAGATCCAGGAGATACTTCTTCTTTCGTTACTGAAATGGGTATCTAAACAGACGCATGTGGTATTGTAGTACTAACTTCCCGGATGCAGAATAAGGCAGAATTTTAACTTTGATGCAGCGGTCAGAATACCTCATTGGTGTTGGACTAACTTGCACAACTTTTCTTCCTTTCATTTCCGTGGGACAGATGAGGTATGATTTTTAATGCTCTAATTTTAAAGTGAAAGTCTTAATTCAATCACTTCATTCATTCTTTCTCACATTATTAGTTCGTTCGCTATTTGTGCCGTCTTTTCGATATGTCGCGTAATTAGTGGCTTTCATATTCTTTACGCCTCGATGATTCCTACCATTTCAATTATGCACTTCTCAATACTCTTCATTTGTCTTGGTCATACTTTTTATAGTTACTTATCTCATCCGAACTTGTAGCGCCATAATTATTCGGTTGAGGTTATGCGATTCACAGTGCAAGATATGCGAGCTGAATTGTTGTGTGCTGAGCATACCCTTATCTGTGATCGCGTTCATGAATATAACCTCTTTTCACGTGACAAGATTCAGGCCTGTTCTTGATACATCAGTTAACCCTCTGCTATTAAGGATGAAATTTTATCATGAAATCAACTAGTGACATTTCATATCGGCATTTGAGTAATTGACATCTGTGATCTCGTTTCACCAATTACTTGGGGTACCGTAATCTCCAAAAAAAAATCATTACCGCTACGATACATACTTCAGTTTGATTTAATTGATCTTCATGTTGACGTATGAATGCATGTTCTCTGGTTATTGTACCAGCCTCTTCTGTTCCAGTTTAGTATTTCACACTAATAATTCATCTCCTGATATTAGACGTTATTCATGCAACGTTATTGCTCTCTTTCTTGTATGCTGCTAAGGGAACGCCACAGGCCCCCCGTACGCGGGCGCTGGGAGACTTCCCTATCCGCCACTTGGTGTCTAAAATTGCTAGTATGGACGAGGTTTGTCCGAGTGTCTTGCTTCGCCCATTGTTTCTGTACAGACGCAAAACATAATTTAGGTGTTACCATCCACACGTTCATGTGTATAATAAGTTATTAACACATGAAATCTCAATTTGCTCGAATAATATTCTTAAATTTTCAACCACTAAATATCTGCTTGTCATGACATTGGTACCTTATTGTTAACTAGGTGCGGTACGAAGTGTTTATTTAAACAATCTACAATGCAATGGTATAAATCGTAAATTTTTAAGTTTTTTCTTGTAAGCAAGCAGTTCGGCATGGAGTCTTCGTGTTGCTTTGCACTCAATTGTGTTTATAGTAGCACTTTTGTTTGCGCGTTCTGATATTCCTGACATTAATTTAGTTTGATCCTAACTTTGGTTTCGGTTTGTTTGCTCCTCAGCCTCTACTTCTATCTGTACTTGAAGGCTTTTTCTACTTCTTGCATACTAAGTAGTTCTGAAATGTTTCCTACTTCTCTTTTAGTATGTATATTTTTAAGAGAATCTGTACTTGAAGGTTTCTTTTTTCTAATTCCTGCATACTAAGTTCTGAAATATTTCCTACTTCTCTTTTAGTATGTATATTTTTAAATGGAATGTATATACCTTGCTGCGTATTTTTACTATGCGCATTAAGTGTGTGATTATGTTCCACTTTAAAATGTGAAAAGTTGAATTTTGTCTCTAACACGTTATTTGAAAATTTAAGAGAATTGAGCTGCTTATTGGGGATCCCAATATGGAATTTGACATTTTCATGTCATGATATAAAAGTCTTCATTCACCTATCTTTTCTAAAACTCAAGTTCTCCTTTCCTGACAAATCTTTAAATTCACTATTCGTCTTCTTAGTTAGAGCAAACGAAATTCGATGAAAATTAAGTTTGAACTATTATTTTCAGTTATTGACGATTTGGAACTGGATACCTGTGCGCATGACCATGTACCAGCCTAGCCTCCTCTACACCACTGAAGAACATGGCTCGTCCTTAACTACTTTCTATCAGGTAATCCTAAACTTTGTCTATTTTTATGATATCGTGAATCTGTGGTCGTTCATTTTACTTCGTTGTTTTCACTTTTTACCTTTTTTGTGCCTTTTCCTGTTGAATTCACATATTCACACTAACCAATATTTTGATCTTAGGGCAACTTATAACCATAGATTTAGTTAGTTTTCAATTCTAAGGTTTGTCTGTTCTATCACAGCGAGTTGAAAACCACGAACCAACAATACTGTTGGTACGAACCACCTGCGACCACGTGTTTGGAGCTTACTGTTCTGTGGCTTGGAATAACCGCAACAAGCGCGACGAGTTCGGCAACAAACAAACGTACTACGGCACCGGGGAGACATTCCTATTTAGTCTACGGCCCGTGCCCGCCAAGCATCAGTGGGTGGGCATCACCCAGCAGAAACACAACGCGGCGCTCTCGAGCGTCCAGCATTCTGCTGAGCTTTTCATGCACGGCGACGAGGACATGATCACCGTTGGTGGCGGGTAAGCGCTTACTGGCTACCAGAAAATTTTTCCTTAGGATTCGAACGATAGACCAATTCTCTTCTGAGCATGATAGTTGCAATTTTGAGATCTTCATTGTTCAGTATGAATTGTTATACTTTGATCCTTCCGTTTTATGTTGGAGGAACCTTTTTTTAAAGGATTGTAATGGGACAGTGCTTTTAAACTTGTATCTTGTTTTAGCTACCAACTGATGAGTGTTCTTTTGTGCAGCGATGGTCAAGGTCTATTCTTGGACCACGAGTTGCAGTTCGGCAAAACTGAAAAGTGCCTGACGTTCGACAATCCTCCGCTCTGCCCCACCGGCGACTTCGAGATCAAAGTAGTGGAAGTTTATGGCATTGACGTCACCAATGCATAAATCATTTCACGCACATTATTCTGATTGTATACATTACATAAAATATATTTAAGTTATTTATTTGAAAAACTATTGAGTAAAGTAGTCTTAATGAATGAATTTGTTTCCAGTGAAAGGAAAGAAAAAATTTTTGTATCCACATTAGTATTTGACTGAACACATCCATAACTTCTGTTATATTCTTCGACTTATTGTTAGCTGAACAATTTCTAAGTCACGGTTAAACGGAGAATTATGTTGGAATACTTACTTTATAAGTAAGAAATGTTCACGAATCCCCTTTGGACAAAATAGTTTCTAACCACTTTAGATGTTGACATAGTTAGAAATGCAGCTCACCAGACAGTGTTGTGAATCAGTTTCGTCACGTGTGTAGCTCAATAGGAACCTCGTGTCTATAGAGTGAACTAGTTTATAGTGACGTGAGCCTTCAATAATATTTAGGCAACTACTTGAAGTCGGCGATTATTTGATAAGCTGAAAAAAATTCGGCATTATGCAAGCGATAGCTTAAGAGCAATAAACGACGAAGTTACGTACGAATTACTGACAGCGAATCATGTTTTAATGTCTAAATGAGTTTATTTAGAACTGACAGTAAGCAGCTTGACCCTGCAGCTGTGAGATGGTGTTGACTAGCTATCCATGTCTTGTCTAGCTTTTATTGTTCCATGTTGTTAACTTGTATCATCTGTTGATATCGCCATGTGTTCATTCTGCTGTGTCCTCGTACTTGGATTGCCTGGACAATTTTTACTCATTTATGTCCCATGAATTTTAGCGATAATAGTTATCCAGTAAAGCTCACCTGGCTTATTCTTGTGAAAACTGGAGATGCGTTCCGACTAAAATCACATGTTCTTGTGTAATTTTATATTGGGATTAAATATTAGTGAGCTCTGATTTGGCTCACGTGAGTGAAGAGAAATGCGCTTCAAAGAATCTCATTGAATTTGAATTATGAATTGTAAAAATAAAGCTTCATTTCAAATTTGTAGCATAACGATATTCAAGCGGAATATTTTTTATCAAAAAATTTGCTTGATTGTATTAAAGTTGATGCCTCTCGTGCTTTAGTCAGTGGATTCAGGCTCTGGTCTGGATTTTTTTCGTGTTTCAGGGTTTATAGTGTTATACGTGCGTAGTTAGTAATGTTTTATGCTGTTTATCGATTACTTTGATCGCATAGAATGCTAGTGTTTTTTTAAATAAGTGAACTTGGGCTTAACTTGCTTGAATATTTTGTAGATATTTGTTTTACATTCCAGTTCCTAAGTTAGTTATTATTTATGTTTTACGTTAAGAGCCACGTTGTACAAAGGTTACGTTGGATCTGTTATGTTAACAGCATTTTGTTTGTTTCTGGCGTCGAGCGCTTCTGAGTGCTGAAGGAGGCCAGTATTTTTGTTTAATAAATCTTAGTCCGACTTTTTATCTTCCTGTCCCATTTTAATCGTGTATCCTGCGAATAGGCAAGCTAGACGAATCTTTCCTCGACTTCTTATGTCTTCGAACGAACCTCTTCTTTCATTTCGGAGTTGATGATTTCAGACATTAACTTGCACCCTGGGCTTATTTTTGCCATAATGCATTTCTATTCTTGAAGCATATTAGTTCTAAGATGGGTCGCATTGACAAAAATAAGAGTTTCCAACTCCATCTCAGCCACCGCTGCTTTTTAATCTAAGCCCATAAATCAGCAGATAAATGAAATGCTACGTGTATTAAAGCGATTTGTTCTAGTAGATAGTTTCTGAAAGGACTCGTCTAAATTAAGTTTCAGTTGGTCTTTCTGTCGCTTTCTACGACGTCGCCAGCTCCATACCATCTAATAATGTGCTGCGCTGGCAAAATTTTATAATAGGGATTCAGGTTAGGGTTCTCTTCAGGCTCGCTAGCACGATTCAATGTGTGGCTGCAAGTACGGCGTTTATGGCGTCAGTCGCCGCAACGCGGGAGGCGATCTCCCTGCGGAGGGACCGCTTAGTCTCTCCGTAGGCACCGGCAGGCATCATGCCATTACCAAAGAATGGTGTGACCATGTGACCGAACCTCGACTGAATGGAGGCTTTCATGTGGCGGTCCCCAGGGGGGCAGAAACGATACGAAATGAGGTATGGGAGGGCTGGAGGGCGCTGGCGAGGAACTGGGCACAAGCCAGATCCAGATGCGCGGCTAATGGGAGGACGCCGGTCTCCTGGTGAAGATGGGAGATCGGGGCCATTTTGAGGCAGCCGGTGGCTAGTCTCAGTGCAGTGTTTTGTATTATCTGCATGCTGGCAACTGCTGTACGTGAGGACACAGGGTACCAGATGGGGGCCGCGTAGTTGAGGATTGGGCGCGTGATGGCTCTCTGGGTGGCAATAATGTCCTCCTTGGAGAAGCCCCAGTTGGTACCAGCTATGGCTTTTAGGATGCGAAGAGAACCCGTCGCTTGCGTGGCGATGGCTCTTGCATGAGGGGAGAAAGTGAAATGCTTATTCCAGGTGACGCCCAGGATTTTAAGGGTTTTATCTAGGGGATGACGCCATTGCAAATAGTGGCAGCAGGGTGGGATCGAGATTGGTGGGTGTCTGGGGTGAAGAGCGTGACTGAGGATTTACCAGGAGCCACGCCCAGTTTCTTGGCCGCCTACCAATCCGAGACGTTCCGAAGGAGCACAGCGAGCTCAGCCTCAGCAGCGTCGAGCCTTGGGGACGACACGAAAATGGTAAGATCGTCCATATATTAGGCAATGTTGGGGGTCGGAACTGGGATGTCGGAGATGAAGTGGTTAAAAAGAGCCGGCGAGATGGCCGAGCCCTGGGGCGCTCCGCAGTGAACAGCTCTGAAAGGCGACTGCGTTCTGAGGTAGAGGCAGGATGCCAGCCTGCCTCTAAGGCAGCAGCACAGCCAACGGACCAGGTTATGATGTAGGTCCGAGGCCTCGATCATGCTCAGAAGGAGAGGGTGGCCAACGCATTCGAAGGCCTTCGAGAGGTCGACTGCAGCGGCGATTGTGCTGGCTGGGGGGCGCCGGGAGTTAAAACCCGTCGCGATCTGGTGCGCGAGTGGAAGGAAGCCGGGACAGTGGAATGTCCCGGCTTGAAACCATGTTGCGAGGGGACAGTGGTGAGAGATTCCAAGGTTTATGGGAGCACCAGGCGCTCAAGGATCTTTGCTTCTGGGCAGAGGAGGGAGATAGGGCGGTGTGAAGAGCCCTGGTTTCCGGGTTTGCCCGGTTTGAGAATTGGAATAATTATAGAATTTTTCCAAATGGATGGGATAGAGGCTGTGGAGACGGAGATGTTGAAAATATGGGTAAGGAACTGGAGGCCACGCGGGCCGAGGTGCTTAAGATGAAGAACCGTGAGGCCATCATGACCCCGAGCGGAAGAGTTGTTGGCGGCTGCGACGGCAAGCTTCACCATGTCGGAGGTAAAAGGGGAAAAGTCCCTGTCGAGGGGGTGTTGGGCTCGGATTCGACGTATGAAGCGACGGGTGGAGGGACTTTGAGAGTGAGGAGCAACAGAAGTGAAAAGCTTGCAGAAGGCGGAGGAGATCTTGCGTTGGGAGGAGAGGGAAATCCGACCAAATTGGATTGGTTGATTGGGGGGAGGGCGGTTCCGCTTTCCGGCTAGGGAGCGGAGGAGATTCAATGTTTGGATTGGTTGGTACGCCTGCTGCAAGAGGCAAGATGTGTTTGCCAGGTGTTCTTGGCGTGGGCCTGTATGGAGATGCCGATTTCCAGGTTGAGATCTGGGAGCCAGGGGTCGGTTGGGTTGCTCGCCCTAATGTCATCCCGTTGCTCTATGAGCAAACGGGTGCTAGGGTTGACTGATGGGGAGAAGTCCTTCCTGAATCAGGCAGGGATATGCTGTCTGGCAGCGGTCGTCGGACTTCCCCCTTAAGGTCGACTCTCCGCCACACGAGGTGGGGGGAGGGATCGTCTCGAGCACCGCTTCGATGGCAGCCGTGAAGGCGGGCCAGTCAGCTTTTTCAAAGTTGACATAAGAGCGGGCGGCCCGGGGGGGTCGGGGAATCAGCAGAGGAAGGGAGATGGGTCAGGATGGGCAGGTGGTCCGAGTTGAGGGCGACTTGTGGAGTCCAGGAGGTGCTGAGGAGTGGGTGACCGCTGATGATGGCGAGGTCCGGAGAGGAGGGCGGGCCATGGGAGGGGAGGCGGGTATGGGAGTCCTCATTGAGGTAGGCGAGGGAGGAACCAGCGACGAGGTCGTCGACTGCGGTTCCTCGCGCTGCGGCTCTCTGGTTTTCTGTGTGGGAGATCCAGGAGGGATGGTGGGCGTTAAAATCGCCCACTATCAGGCAGTCTCCCGGGATGGAGATAATGTCTGCGAGCTCCGGGGAGTATCCCGGGGGGCAGGAGGAGGCCGGTGGGATGTATACGTTGATGATACAGAGAGGTGAGCCATTAAGAGGAGTGGAGATTGACATAGCCTCCATGGTAGTGTCACTGCGTAGGAGGGGGGAGATGCCTCATCCGGTGTAGGGGACATCATGGCGGATCAAGATGAGTAGATTGCCGCCGTGACTTCCGGGGCGGTCCCTGCGCTTCAGCGCGTATCCGGGGCAGGAGGAGGGGGCGGAATGCAGCAGATAGCTAGGTCTCTTGGAGACAAGCAACCGCCACGTCATTCTTTGCGAGGTAAGTAGCCAGTTCAACTGCGCTGGATTGAATCCCGTTGCACTTAAACTAGAGGACGCGAAGGTGGGAGGGGGCCAGCAAGGGGGGGAGGCCGGGAGGGCGAGGGATAGAGGGGTCTGGCTGGGATGGGGTCAGACCGTCTGCACGTAGGACAGATCCAGTCTGCGGAGTAGAGGTGAATGGAGCGGAGGCCGGAGCACCGTTTGTGGGTCCAGGCATTGCTCATGGAGCACAGAAACAAGTAACATCGCTTTGTAACCGGGAGGGAGCAGGGGTGCGGGCCAGGGTTTGGATGGATACCCTGGATCAGGAGGAGAAGGACGAGTAGGAAGAAAAGGTGAGAGGAGAGAAGGGCCTAGGGTGCCTCAGGAAAGATAGGCGGCCAAAGATGTGGGTAGGGGGTAGGGGAGGCCGAGGTTCCCCAACCCTTGGTCGAAAA